GATTTACGCTCCGTAATCTTAAGCGTAGCTTGGCCCTCCCAATACATTTTGCTGGATCCGCCACTGATTGAACTGTAGGGGGCTTTGGGGGGCTCACATCTTTTCCAAAGAGCCGTGTTAAAAATCAACTGTTTACCTCTCCTGTTTTCAAGCAACGCGTTACTTTAAAACACACACACACAAAAACAAAAACAAAAACAATTATGGTTATATCGTTGGACTTTCCATTAATTTTACTGGGAAGATTGTTTTGAAGATTTTTTAGTCTAAAATACTAGGAACCGTAGAGTTAGGTAAGTGTGTTCGATTTCTACTCATTAATTTATTCTACTTTGTGTTTTATTATTTTCCATATCACAGTAAAAAAAAACAAAACATGTATTTATCTCGTCTACTAAAAAGTTTTGACCGAGGAGTGTCCAGCACTCTCTGACTGCCGGGTAGAACCCTGAATGTTGTATGAATAGAAATCGATAATTATTTTCAGTCCCGAAAACAAATCTGAATCTGAAACTAACTCCAGTGTCTCTAATGAGCAAGCGCAGTTGAACAGATATTTTAAAGTTGACGCTCCTTGATTCGCATTTGCTGTTTCGCACGGTTCCCGTTATACACATCGTCAATATGGCTTCTGCTGACCCAAGGATTCGTCAAATCAAAATTAAGACTGGTGTAGTGAAAAGGTAAGTGTCTTGAATTACTGTAACATCAATATAATCACTTACGGCTTCCGATCGATTCTCAAACAAACAACATGACAGGTCCGGCCATGCCAGACACAGGTGGACTGCAGGGCATAGGAACGAGGGTTGAAAATAAAATGGTTTTATGCTGTGACTGTTTGCACAAAACTGATAAAAATCCCGTATCCGTTTTTGAATATGGTGAATAATTCGATGTTTTGTAGATGAAATTCCCGATTAAAAAACTATATTCTATGCCACAGTTATATGGAATTGTAACATTTATCACCCCGCGAAGATGTGCTCTGTGTAGGTCATCCTAATCGTGGTTACGTATATCACAGGCGCTCGGAACGTTTCCTGGATAATATAAAATGACCTAAAGTGGGATCGGCATAGTTAGTCAGTCGCCGGTACAATCCCCTACTACTCATATAATAACACAAGGTAGGATTGCTGCAGTTGCAGTATACGTTGCGGGGCGACCAGAGAGCTGCAGTTCCCTTCCCTAAAGAAATGCACAGATTTTTAAATATGCCAGTTCTGTATCATTAAAATTGTGATTGTAATAAAATTACCTCGACTTGCAGGAAAAAATAGACAAATATGTTCTCACAAATATATCTGTTACTGATTACAGCAAGCTTTAAGCAAATTTGCCCGTGTAAATGAGACTATTTCACGTTAAAACTGTGCCGAAGTGAAACCTCCGATTGAACGCCGCCATTTTGAAGCCGACCTCTATCACGTGACTTGGCTCTTTTA